ACTGTTCTTCAAGAACGAGGGACAAACGGAGACACTCCCAGATCAACAAAAGCCACAGGACCTGCGCCCGAGACGCTGACGGGAGCCCTTCGGGTTGAAGCCAAGGCCATAGAAGGAACTAAAAGCCCCTGGAAAGGCAAACACGGCCGACCCTCGAACATGCAGGGGTTAGAGGTGCCCGCCTCCCACCTAGTGAAAATCCCCAAAACTTAACTACTAATAGTCCACCATTGACCAGAAGCCTTATCAATAACAGCAGTGAATTAACACATATCCTGGATGGTGCATGTGTTATATACTGTATTCTTACACTAAAGTAAGCTGGAGAAAGGAAAATGCTATTAAGAAAGTCCTAAGGGCCCAGCCAGTGTGGCTCAGTGGTTGAGCGTTGACCTATGAACCAGGAGGTCACAGTTCAATTCCCTGTCAGGGTACATGCCTGGGTTGCCGACTCGATCCCCAGTAGGGGGCGTGCAGGAGGCAGCCGATCAATGATTCTCATCATTGATGTTTCCATCTCTCTCCCCCTCTCCCTTCCTCTCTGAAGTCAATAAAAAATATCTTTTTTTTAAAAAAAGAAAGAATTGTGCATGTACTTAATGCTGCTGAAATGTACATTTAAAAAAAAGAACTGCCTTGGCTGGTTTGGCTCAGTGGATAGAGCGTCGGTCTGTGGACTGAAGGGTCCCGGGTTTGATTCCGGTCAAGGGCATGTACCTTGGTTGCGGGCATATTCCCAGTAGGGGGTGTGCAGGAGGCAGCTGATCGATGTTTCTCTCTCACTGATGTTTCTAACTCTCTATCCCTCTCCCTTCCTCTCTGTAAAAAATCAATAAAATATATTAAAAAAAAAAAAGAACTTTACGACAGTCCCTCACCGGCCAGGCACTTCCTGGCCTCAGGGACTGAGCGCCGTGGAGCCCACCCAGCAAGGGCTCTCGCTGTCCAGACCGTCTCCGGGGGCTGCCAAGGGCTGCCAGCTGGTGTTTATCTTCCCTCCGGGCTGGGGATTGGCAGCTTTCGAGATAAGGCCGTTCTGAGCTAAACCGGCTGTGTTTGCACAAACAGTGGAGTCAGCTCACCCTGCCTCTTAGGTCCCGGGGCGTCTTCTCTTCCTCACAGGAAGGCACCTGTTCGGACAGACCTCCTGGCCCCTGGCGATTCTCTTTATGGGTCTGGGAATTGTCTGAGGCAGCAACGGCTTCTTCTGTTATCTTGACAGTCTTTTAGGCCAAGCCTCTTTCTAAAGGACCCGACCACCCCCTGCCGGCATGAACTTCTCCAGCTTTGGACCCTTCGCCTTCTTTTCGAGCTGCCGTGCGATGATTTGCTCTCCACGGCCAGTTGGAGTCCTCGGGCCTTTCTCACAGCCACCCTGCAGCCCGGAAAAGCCCTCTTTTCAGACTGGGATGAAGGGTTTCACTAGGAGCGCGAGGTTTTCCCGCCGCAGGTGCAGCTGCAGCGACAGCCCCACAGACTCCCTTCTCGTTGCTCACCCTGGTCCCAACACTGTTCTCTTCCAAATAGTGAAATAGTGGCACCGACGCTGCAGCCCCCGGGACAGAGCGTCCGTGGAACCAGCCACAAACGGCTCCCCTTGTCCATCGACGGCGCCTAGCAAGCACTCCAGCCTTTTCTCCCGACGCCGTGACGTCCCTCTGCTTCTTGGGAGCACGTCACACACCACGAGCGGCACTTCAATACACCGAACCTGCTGACGTGCTTAGCCTGCTGCCCTAAGCTGCTCAAACACAAGATCCAAACACGGGCTGGGCACAGTGCACGGTGGAGCGCTGGCTCTTCACCCTCATGCTCACTGTCCGACCAGGAGCACATCACTGGCCCAGGAAAAGATCAAAATTCAAAATCTGAAGTAGTTTCTACTGACTGCATGTCACCTCCACACCACTGTAAGATGAACGATCTTAAGTCAGGAATGGTCTGTCTATTAAAAGGATGATACACCATGATCAAGTGGGATATATTCCCAGAAAATGCAAGGATGGTTCAATGCATGAAAATCAACCAATGTAATACACCACATTAATAGAATGAAAATAAAATCAGATGACCATCAATTGACATAGAAAAAGCGTTTCACAAAATCCCAAATCCTTTTATGATTAAGAAAACAAACAAACAAACAAAACTCAGGGCCCTGGCCGGGTAGCTCAGTTAGAGCATCATCCTGATACACCAAGATCATGGGCTTACTCCCTGGTCAGGACACACAGGGAATCAACCAATGCATGCATCAATAAGTGGAACGACAAATTGATGTTTCTCTCTGTCTGTCTCTCGCTCTTCCTCTCTCTCTCTAAAATTAATAAAAGAAAAACTCAGCAAAGTAGAAATACAGGAAAATTTCTCAACATGATAAAGGCCATATATGAAAACCCCACAGCTAATATCATACTCAACAGTGACAAACTGAAAGTGTTTCCTCTGAGATTAGGAACAAGACCAGGGTGCCCACGGGCACCACAGTCGTTCAACAGAGTACTTGAAGCTGCAGAGAGAACAGGCAAGAAAAAGGAATAAAAGGCACCCAAACCGGAAAGGAAGAAGTAACAAATCTCTGTTCATAGATGATAAAACCTAGAATTCCACTAAAAACCTGTTAGATTGAATAAACAGAATCAGCAACGTTGCAGGATAGAAAACCAACAGGCAAAACTCAGCTGCATTTATTTCATGAACAATGAATAATTTAAAAAAGAAACCCGACCTGATTCAAAAATGGGCAAAAGACTTGAATAGACAATTCTCCAAAAAAGATACATAAAAAGAAAGTCGACTTCATTAGTCATTAGTGAAATACAGGTACAAACTACAATGAGCTACACCTCACCCCAGTCAGCGTAGCTGCCATCAAAAAAGAGGGGCGGGGGCGGACAGAGCACAGTAAGTGCTGGCCAGAATGTGGAAAAATCGGACCCTCTGTGCTGCTGGTGGGAATGTAAATCGGTGCAGCCGCTAGGGAAGTAGATGGGAGAA